CACATTTTGGTTTCAACCTTCTCTTGGACATGGTCAATACATGTTCTCCATTTTGCTGGCGTAATTCTATCGACAGCAACATCAAACAGTTTTTTAAGGTCAGAAAACTTAAAAGTGCTGTTATTTGACGCCACGTATTGCTTGATGTCGGCCCAAATCAACTCGATAGGATTCAGTTCGCAGTGATAGGGAGGCAGCCTGAGAATCGTTTTATTTTGGTTTTTGGCCATTTCGTCAACAATTTTTAAATCATATTTATACTTATGTCGCTTGACTATATTTATCAGCTCAGCTTTGACCATTATTTGGTCGAAGTCGATCTTCTTTGAGATAAGCCACTGTTGAATGTCTGCCTTTTTGGTGGCCATTGTTGGAATTTTTTCCAATTTTCTGGAGTGGTACGGGGCATTATCCATCACAATAACTGCGTTATCATCAAGTGTCGAGAAATTTTTTTTGAACCAATTTTCAAATGAGTTACCATCCATTTCTTCGTGATAGTCTCCAGTTTTTTTGGATTCAAATGCCCACAATGCTTCAGGAACAAATCCATCTACGCTACCTATGTGGCAAATGATCAGGCGTTTTCCCTTGCCTGAAAGTAATTAGTTATTTTACTTCTCAGCGAGCGCACTAAATGACGAAATTAAGCAACTTACTCTTTTTAGGTTAGTGTAGGATAGGGTCTTAGATTAGTTTTTGGGTGAAGGAAATACTCAGAAACTTGGATGAGATAGCAAAACTGAGTTCGGAGCTTCCAAATCATTGATTCGATCAGAAAATGAATTATCTGCATCCAAAAAAGTTCATATACTTCGAAACTTACCTGCAGGATTTTTCAATCCCGTCGAAAGGCCATCTAAAAAAGCCTGCCTTGAGGACCTCACAGATCTGTCTACCCAAACCTTTCCCTGCGTATGCCCCGCGTTCACCAATGTTTCGTCTAAATAATAAATTTTTCTTCCTTCAGCGCGGAATTGCCTAATTTTTCTAAGGTATTCTCTCCTCCAGATAACAATTTCCTCCTTTTCTATCAATAAACTATTCCTTCCTCTTTCAAAAATCGAAAGTCTAGTTCTTTCAACAGCTTATGGAACGTAGATCTTTTAAAATTTGGCAGGTCCTCATCATCATTCACTTGCTTCAATATTTTATCTATTGTAGGTATTTCATTCCTGAAGAAAAAGTGATGTACTTTTCTTCTAATGGCACTTTTGTCAAAGTCATCTATTTTTTCGATGATTTTTTTTCTCGCTGGATATGTTTTTGGCTCAGATAGTGAGTGATTTTGTCTATATTCCTTCAAGATTTTGTAAACACTTGATCGACCTACTCCAGAAATTTCAGCAACCTTACATACGATATTTTCTATAGCCAATCCACTACTCTCTTGCATCTGGTTCTTGTAGATATTTAGAATAATTTGTTTTTCACCTGCGCTAAGATGAAGCTTTTTAGCCCTTTTTCTGGGTGACGTTAAGCTGATTTCAACCACTTCATCAGCTGTATCTGTGTCAGACATTTTAGACTAATATTAAATTTCCGCAAGAAAAATCAAGTCAAGACGTGCATAAAACGTTCGCGCTCATAAACGGGTATCCGTAACTGATTACAATCCTGTGCGTGGTGACGAACCATCAACGTGACGCTGAGAGTTCCCTCTACTATGCAGCGTTGCCAGGCTTAATGTCACAATGATCATGTTTTATTGGGAAAATTGTCAGAAATCGCCGAATGTTGAACAGAAACATTACAAGAAGTCTAACCTTGAAATGTGAGGCTACAAATCGATATTCTTATAGGGGGGAAGGGTAGGGAGCTGTTATGGTTCCTATTAACCTTGGTGAAAGTTGGAAACGGTAATACCATATATGGCATACATTCGGTTGAAGGTGTGTGCACGGAAAATAGATTGCGGATAGGATTTTAATAGATAAATCTGCACAAAAAAACACAAAAGGAGATTTTTGTATTTCCCTGAAGAATATCTCAAGGTTATTTCAGATGTACTCATCGAAACTTTATGGAAGGATTATCGAAACCTTGTTTTCAATTGCGATAGGGCCACATACCTCGACATCGCATTAATGTGAAAAATAAGACAATAGAAAAAAATTCCCTCACTGATGCTATCTCTTAGGAAAAATTTAACTATAAAGATTGCACAAAAATTTTCTTCACCTTTTTGAGCTTGTTTTCGCATCTCCGTATATGCCGTTCATAATTCGCTGCAGATCAAATTGGAATATACCTTTGTGATGCCATTTATTGTTATATAATGTCCTTTACAACAGTTATTGCACGTATTGCACCAACAGATTGATTTGTGATCCATGCGAATGTGATCAACCACTCTGGCGAAAACTCGCCGAGCGTGGCAACCGTGCGACTTTGTCTGGAGGCTCGTCGCTACAAGCCAATCAGGAAGAGGCCGACAGAGCGCCATGGCTACCGATCACGCGTTGATCACGAATCAGCCACTGTTTACGATTACTTTGTAGCTTCGTTAGATACACTTTAGACACATGCACCAGTGACGTCTAGATTTTAAGAGAGCGAGAGACCTCATGCGGCGCTTCAACAAACTATCTAAAGCAGCTCACACACTGACTTAAGGCTGTATGAGACATCTCCCCATTTTTACAATATTGCTTTTTTTCATTTTAATGCAGGAAACTTAAAATCTTACTTCACATTGGATACTTAAACTACTATCTATATCTGGCCTGTGTTCTCACAACTCTGCCAGATCTTGTTCTTAAAGTATTATTGTTCACATAGGATTTATTGTCACACTTCTGGTTACTAGATACAATCGAGGTTGAAACAGTTGTTGGCTCATTATAATCATTGGATTCGAAATCATTACTTCGTGACTCTGTTCCTCTTGGGGAGCAAGGTTCAGACCAAATATTATCAAATTCATCTTGAGATTGTACTGGAGAACACTCGTTAGGAGAATATCTTAAAAATGAAGACATCCTTCTTAAAAGTCTTCCAAGGTTGTCACGCACCATTTAAGACCTAGAGGGCTATCACATTTATTTAGGGTAATCATATGCTTGTTATCAGCATATTAATAAACACTCCTTGTTTCAATTGTTATTTGAGTTTAATCTTAATACGTACATGCACCAGTGACGTTTAGATTTTAAAAGAGCGAAAGACCTCATGCGGCGCTTCAACAAACTATCTAAAGCAGCTCACACACTAAGTAAAGGCTGTATGAGACCGTGTATGCTAATAATTTCTGCATCAGATGAGGAAACACATAACCTGATATTAAATAGAGTGATACAGAGAGCTAAGAAATTTGGAGCACAGCACAGCCTTGACTAACATAAAGAATCTAATAACGAGACTTCCAAATTTGAAGATATTTGATTCAAGTCTACCAATTGAAATACAAAGTGATGCTAGTTAGTTTGATATTGATGGTTGCCTTTTATAACAGGGACAGCCAGTAGCATTTTGCTCACGAAGCTTAACAGAAACAGAGACTAAGAGAACAAGATCTGGCAGAGTTGTGAGAAAACCGGCCAGATATAGATAGTAGTTTATATATCCAATGTGAAGTAGTATTTTAAGTTTCATGCATTAAAATGTAAAAAAAACAATATTGTAAAAAGGGGCAGCTGTCTCATACAGCCTTAACTTAGTGTGTGGAGCTGCTTTAGATAGTTTGTTGAAGCGCTGCATGAGATCTCTTGCTCTCTTAAAACCTAGATGTCACTGGCGCAGGTACGTATTAAGAATAAACTCAAATAATAATTAAAACACGGAGTGTTTATTAATGTGCTGATAACAAACATATAAAATATAATACTCCATACGTCTAGATTGCAGTTTTGTCATAATGAATTTTGTTTTTGAATCTTTTTTCAGAAAGCCTCTGACTATCACTCTTTAGAGTTGCTTATAAGTGCGTATTTGATACAGGCAAGACACTACGCAGTTGTCTGTTATAAATCATTTCGCTGGAGACATATTGGACCCTGCTAACAGAATATTTCTATATTCTAACAGCGCTATAGAAATGTCTGTTTCTGATTCTTGACTCTTTCTTAAAATGTTCTTGCATATACCTACTGCCCTTTCTGCAAGACCATTCGACTTAGGGTAATGAGGACTAGATATTATCAGCCTAATATATTTTTAAAAAAAATTGATTAGCCCTCTTTCCCTTATTTGGAAACAACCTGGCTAACAGCTTTTCCCCTCTGCACCTACAAGGACAAACGCGCTGATCCTCGATGCATGATTCTATTTTGGAAAGCGCACACATACTTTGCCCGAAGTTTATCAGCTACGGCAAGCGTACGCGGAATATCCGATATCGCATGTATCCGGAATCATCCGGCATTCTTGCATGCATGGAGTCGGTTGATCTCTGGGGATCAACTGCAACAATGTGTCGCTATGAAAACAGAAGCCGCTTTTTGAAGAGACGCGGCGGAAAAGGTAGCGCATCCGAAATATGCTTGCCGTATAAAATTTGAATATTTCGATCCCACGCGCTGTGTCGTCAAGAATTAAGAGTTCATGAGGTGCTCGTAAAGTGTAGCTTGCATTTTCCTTGCAAGACGATAGGGTATGAATATCAATTTCGGATTCCCATCACAAGTGAAATCTTGTCAGATTAATTAGTCGCAGCGGATTTCTTGTCTGATGATTACACGTACAGTATTAGCTTGCTTATCAAACTTCTTGTAAGCTTTCCTAAAAGGTTTCCATGGGCGCCCATATAGCAAAGTTCAGAAGAGACACAATCGCGCGTTATACTTGATGCTCAGTGGATATTGAAGAGCGGGTGTTTCATAAATAAAGTGCGGAGGATCATACTTTCTATGTAGGGATGTTCTCATAAGAAAAAAATATATTATACAGATACCCAGATACCCCTACCGTCCGTTATAACAATCACCTAATATTTCGCTTCAAATTTGAAACTCTGGCATTCCGCGTCAGATGGCGTTGGGTTATTCGCTGTTAGAAACACGTGTTTAAGCGAAATTTATTGTTCTAACCTCTTAAAGGGAGAGTTCTGTATGCGAGAAAGTGTTTGGAATAACAGGTGCTTAGTTTGTTGTGAACAATGGATAATTATAGGTGAGTATACTGATAAACTATTCATATTATTTTTCTATCTTGTGAATAAGTAATTTTAGAAAACATCAATCTTTATAATTGTAAACAAATAAGTTAAAAATTTGCATCTCACCGGCAAAAATATAACCTCAACTACCGATGTCTGGACAGTAGGAAAATCCGGTATTATTAGATTTTTTTTCTTATATTTGCAGTTATTGGAACTATTGGAAGCGGCCCTTGAAACTTCATGAACTCATGGCAGAAATTGAAAACATTGATGACGATGAGTTGATTCGTGATACTATTGCCGTTCTACCGCCAGTTAACGCAAATGAATATAACACTGATGAGGATTCCGGCGACGAAAATGAAGTGGATATAAACAACCTCCCTGGAAGTCAGCTGATGGCTGAAGTTGAGGTTGTATTTGAAAACAAGGGATCAAACCAAACTACAGTTGAGAGTGATTTTGATAGCGACGATGACCTACCTTTGTCTACCTTTCTTACGAAAAAACGACCAAAATTATCAAAACCAAATTACTCTTGGAAAAAGGTGACATCAACCAAGATTTTCCAGAATGGGTAAACGCATGTGATCCAAAAAATTCTTTATCTCCTTTTTTCAGTTTATAGATGACGAAATTATTGACTTGGTTGTGAAATATTCCAATATATATGCTATTCAGCATAATCGCCGAGGTGATATACACTCCAGTGAAATAAAATGTTTCATTGGTGTATTACTCCTCTCTGGATACAACTCATTTCCTCGACGGTCAATGTATTGGGAAAATAACAGTGACGCAGGAAATAAGTTAGTCTATTCGGCGCTTTCTCGAGATCGCTTTAGCTTTATAATGCAGAATTTGCACCTGAATGATAACAACAATCTTGAAAATACCGATAAATTTTCGAAACTGAGGCCCTTGTTTTCTAGTCTGAATGAGAAATTTCAGTCATTTGCACCCCTTGAAGAGTGCCATAGCGTGGACGAGTCGATGGTACCCTATTACGGCGGTCATGGATCAAAACAGTTCATCCGAGGAAAGCCCATTCGTTGGGGTTATAAGGTATGGGTGGGAACAGCTAAAAAGGGCTACATTGAATGTAATGAGCCGTATTAAGGGTCTACAACTATTATTTCTGAAAAATATCGTCCACTTGGTTTAGGGGCTAGTGTTGTACTTCAGTTTGCTGATACTATTCAGTCTCAATGTGAAAAAGCTCCTTTCCATATCTTTTGTGACAATTTTTTTACGTCATTACCTCTGTTGGCTGAGCTGACCTCCAGGGGGCTCAAATGCACAGGAACTCTGCGAGAAAACTGACTATCAGATTGCCCTCTTGAAAAATCCAGTATGTTCAAGAAAAAATCCCGTGGTAGTTTTGATTATCTTTTGGAGGAGAACCAAAATAATATTGTATGTAAATGGAATGACAATAGTGTTGTTACAATCGCCTCAAATCTCCTTTTCCGACACAGCAAATCAAACGCTTCTCTCAGAAAAAAAAGAAAATGATACATGTTGATCAAACAATACAACGAAAACATGGGCGGTGTTGATAGGGCTGACCAAAATATAAGCCTTTACCGCGTAGGAATCAGGGGAAAGAAGTGGTATTTTTGCTTGTTTTCACATGCTCTGGATATGGCAGAACAAAACGCATGGCAACTTCATAAACATTCTAGCGGAAAAATGGACCATTTGCAGTTTAGGAGGTGTATTGCTGCGGGATTATTAGAAACTTATAAGAAAGAAACAAAACGGGGGCCAACTAAACCAGTCCAGATATGATATGATCGGATGGATCATCTTGTGAATTATCAGGAAAAGGATACCCGCTGCGCATTTTGCCACAAACAAGCAGCATTCAGATGCCAGAAGTGTGATGTTGCACTTCATACAAAAATGTGTTTTTTAAGTTACCATACTAAAAACTAATCTATTATTATTGGTTTAAAAAATTTTTTTCGTTTCTAAATAAAGTTTTATGAGTTCATAAGAATATTGAGTTTTAGTACCTTATATTGCTACCGTACGTTTAAACCGCCGGCTTTTACAGAAAAACCCAAAACCGGAACTAAAAAATTTTACTAGGAAAATATGTTTATATTAACCCAATTAATAGGTTTACAAAAGTATATAACAAAAAACAAACATTAAGAGTTTCACGCGTATCTGGGTTAAGAGCAGTTTTACATCTCGAGCGGGGAGTGGTGAGATCGCTTGTATTTGAACAAGTAAACATTATGTGCTGAGTTGGGGCCTCGGTAGCTCGGTTGCTTTCGGGTCGAGCTAGCAGCCTGGGGTTCGCGGGTTCGAAACTCCATCTCGGAACTTAATTTCCTGTCATAAATGTTGTGTTGCGTAAAAACTATTTTTTTGAGGGGGGAGGGGGGAGGGGGGTGACAGACACGGGGCCGCTCACTTTTCCTCGGTTGGCTGACTCCCCCCTTCCTCCCTTTTAACGCTGTCCAGCGCATTTTAGTTCGCCTCCCCAGCGGGCATACAAAACCCTAACACGCAGTAGGCAGTAAGTTGTTTTTAAATAAACAGCTAGCCGCCATATTTCTGGCAGCCCAGCGTAGTATGCAAGAAAAATTGAATATCTATAGTTCTTGCCTGATTTTCTTCTTCTAACATGTAGGTATGATTCCCTATCTCGCGCAAGAGAAACTGGTACGTGGTGGGCAAAACATTGTAATTAATAAACAACCGGTCGCCAACGATCTGAGAACCAGCGCAGTATACAAGAAAAATTGATTATGTATTGCTTTTGCTTGTTTTTCCTTTTCAGCAAGTGGGTACAGTTTAACATCTCGCGGAGACAAGCTGAGCTGAATCCCGATGGGCAAAGTATTATCTTTAACAAACAACCGACCGCCAACTTTCCGCCAACCGAGCGCAATATGAAAGAAAAATTAATTATCTTTTATCATGTGCGAGTGATTCCATATCTACGGAGGCATGAGCAGGTGCGGCTCTATCATACCTCTCCAAAAAAGAAAATACTTTTAACAGGTGAGCGACAAGGTCTCGCCGGGGGGACATTGAATCACCCACCGGCCCCTGGAAACTACAGCTCCAGGGTTTTAAGTCACCGACTCTTGAGCAAACAATTTTTCCGGTCCTGTATTTAAGACCCAGTTACCACCCACGGAACGCATCTCCTTCCGAGCTTTTGCTAAAGACCAACAACAAGATGTGATGTGATTTAAATTTGTGTATAAGAAAAAAGGGTAGGTATACAATGGGATATGTGACTTTTGCAATGAAATGCATATTGTATGAATATACAGGGTGTTGTTTGAGTACGTGGCCAAACTTCAGGACGTGATACTTTGGGTAATTTTAGGATGAAAAGTTCATATAAATATAGGTCCAGAACTGCTTCAGTTTCAAGGATGGTATTAAAGGCAGTAAGGGACTAAGTCAGCCTCAATTAGGTTGATATTATTAAGTCCAGTGGGGTCCCGAAAAACTTCTTTTGACAAAAAAATAATTTACATGAAAGTCGTCTTTTAATTTTTTTGCTCAGATAATACCTGCTTTCGATAAAACAAATAAACATAAAATACTTACATAACGTTATTTATTGTTGCAATGTTTTGCCAGTGGTGTTGCACGTGTAACTCAGGAAATTAAAAAAATAACTGGAACCGGAAAAATGTGTTTTTAAAACACTTAAGAGTGGATTTCTCCAGGATTGTCAAATCAACAGTCCGTTATTCTCCACCTATAGGCTAACAGTCCGTCAAATACAGCGAATGAGCTTCAAGTTCCAATAAACAAATTTTAGCAACCAATAGTTATCAGATGTTGAAAAAAAATACTGTCAAAGTATGAGATAACAGCTTGTCATTGAAACATCACCAGCTTATTGAATATTAAGAAATTACATATAATTTAGTCAAAATTTAAAAAAGTGTTCGATTTTTGAATAAAATTCATGTTTTTGTTCAATATTTTCGATTGTTTATTCATGTTTTTATTATTTTCTTCAATTGATATGCGATTTTACTGATTCAACATCACCCACCGTGTGTTCTTTTCCTATAAACCTCTTGCAGATAGCCATTAAGCACCTACTTGATGACATGCTCTACCAAAAATTTCATAGATATTGCTCGTTTCCAAACATTCATTCATTTACTTGCCGCTCATCAGTACCATTATAGCACCGTCGATTGATATTCCAACAAAACCATTCAAAATTTTTGATATCCATATATCCATAGTCCAATATTTTTTGGTTGTTCAGGAGCTGAACAAACATCCACATTATATTTACTGCGATTAAGAAATACTCAAATATATGTCGTAAAGCTAACGGAAAACTTAAAACCTGCAAAAAAATAGAATTTACAATAACTTTCTTGTTTCACTGAGAACACATTCTAGGTTATATTTATATTAGGACATTATTTGAATAACAGCTGATTATTATATTTCAAAGCTCCCCAACGAGTGACACATGTATGTGATCCGTCAACCCTTGGTCCCAGTGGAGTAAGCTCCGCCAATTGTTGAAATATACTCGTACTCTACTATGCTTTATAAGACTATACGTGTAATTTTTCCCAAAATCGTTGCACAACACTTGAAAAAATGCAAACGAAAATTTAAAATTATTTCCATGATGCCACAAAATAGCTCCGTTGGCACCTCGGGTTATACATCTTGACAGCAGGGATGTTCGATACGATCCTATATTTAGAAGTATCGAAGTATCTTTCAATCCGGACTCTGTTAGAAAGAGTGACTAACTTCAGATTACTTTTCTTCTTTGTTTCCTTCCGCTGGATATGGATAACTTTATTCCAATATTTTAGAGTATCGATACTTCCTAAAACGATAAGAATCGATACATAATCATACTTTTCGTGGATCTAAATATCCCTAATCTTGACAGCTTGTCGTTCTTGTCAGCTGGACTGCAGGGTGCGGTGTTGCCTTTACTATCTTACATTTTGCTAAAATCTTATGATAAATAAAAGCTTCAAATGAAATATTGACGACTATGAACGGATATGCATAGAATTTAGAATATAAATTCATATTGCAAATTTCATATTGTCTATGCATGGACTTGAACCGGATTTTTCGGTATTTTTACCGAATATTTACCGATAACATCATTCTCCACGATTTTTCAAAAAAATTTAAATATTACCATACTTGCAGAAAAAGAGCTGAAACCAAAAATAAAGCTCATCATACATTTGCATACACGCTCAGCCAGTCGGGCACATGGGGGGCGTAGATTTGGGTTGCTTATGATTATGAACGCACATCCTCATCCCTTAGTGCGCTTGCCCTGCATTGATTTTTGTGCATACAAAGGGTACAGTATATTACGGTCATTACCTCATCCCGGACAAGCAATAAAGAAACCGAAACCTGTCTGTTTTCAAAATAAATACTTAATTAAAATGACAGGTGAGTTCAGGGGTAAAACAGAAAAATTTTCACAATCCCATACGCAAAAATCGAAAAACGAGTTTCCAGAATGGTTGCAAAGTTCTTTGAAAGAGCAACCAGTATGCACATTGTAGAAATTTTAATATAGAACTATGCCCTCAAAAAACATGTTGTGTGCGCGCCATATACAATAACAG